CTTACCCAGAGCTTCAGGGAAGAATCTGCTCCCGAACTCATTCCAGTTGTTAGCAGCTTTAGTTCCGAGGATTGTAAGACTGATGTCCCCGTTTCCTAGCAGGGCATCACTCTCAGCCCTGAGGTCACCCCCACGTGGCTTCTCGTGGGCTCCCCTCCATCCGCAAAGCCAGCGACACTGCACGGAAATCTCTCTTGTGCCTTCAGTCTCCCTGGCTTTCTCCTCTGCCACTGGCCTGAGGAAATCCTGTCCTGGCGTGAGGAGGTGAAGCCACCCAGACCACACCCTGAGTCACATCTGCAACATCACCTGCGGTGGTTTTGCCAGGAGGCCACGGACACTGGGGTTGTTTTGGAATTCTTCCGACCACACCTGCCTTTCCCAAGTGAACTGAATTTAAAGGCACCTGAATCGCTCCAGTTGATGAATACAAGTAATAAATGTGGAAAGAAGGGCATAATGAGAAAACTCCCCATTTTGCAACTCCCTGTTTCAGACAAAGATCATCAATGAAAAAGAAATACATGGTAGATGACAGCTTAACGAGGAACCTGTGGGCTGACCGCGTGACCGCAGGGACACCTACGCTAGTGTCCCTCCTGTTCCACCTGTGAAGGGCTCTTGCCAAAAAAGGTCAGATTTAAATCTAATCAAGCTGTTAGAGCTCACTCTCTCTTTACAGGAAACACAGGAAGGGGAAGTGTGAGTTAAACGATGCCGTGAAGAAGCAAACAGAAAAATCCAGAATGTGGGAACAACCTACAGCACCACTGGCCCAGTCTATTCAATATCAATTAATTATCTGTGGGGGGGGAAGGGGTTACCTGTTGTTGATTAAAAGAGACGTTATTAATGATAACAACACAAGGATAATATTTGAATCCTGATTCAAACAAACCAAGTATTAAAAGGCATTTTAATTCAAAAAATTGAATATAAACTCAGTATTAGCATCTATTAAAAGTCATCATAAATGTTCATTGGTTGGGATAAAGGAAGGCACTGAGGTTGTATAAGGAAACACGCACATTTTTTGGAGATGCATATAGAGCTGAGATGCTACGAGGCATTTACTAATTGCTTTAAAATACTCCAGTAGCCACAAAAAGAGGGGATGAGCAAAGCAAGTAGGGCAAAATGTTGAAAAATATTGAACCTGGGTGATGTACATGTTGGGGCTTTGCTATTCTAGTCCACTTTTGTGTATGATGAAAATTTTTATGATAAACGATTTCATTTAAGAGCTTTCATTCATTGAGCATCTGCCAAGAACAAGCCATTGTGTCAAGGGCTTTGCAAACATTTCCTGCTGAATCCTCACAACAGCCTTATGAAGTAGCTGCTAGCATTGTCCCTACTTTCACAGATAAGAAAGCTAATGAAATAACAACCAGTTTGGGGTGTAGCCAACAAGTCTGCCCATCACGCGTTATCTCGGCACAGCCGCAGAGGCCAACTAAACGAAAGGTGCCCACTCTTTTCATTTCACGAAGCATCTTCACAAGTTGGCTCGAGCTCACGCTGGAAGGCGTCCCCCAAATTCTGTGCTAACCATTAGCAGGGGGGATGTTGGCGGGGTATGGGAAGTGAGAAAAGGAATTGATGGGCTGGGTGCATGGGGTGGGGATAGAGGGCGAAAGAAACAAGACAACCACAGGAAAGCCATAAGGCGTAACCCAGAAATGTGCAAAGTGGGAGCACGTGGAGATGGTCACGGGAAGGGGCAGGCGGAACAGAGGGGAGAGGCAACGGGGGAAGGCAGGCTGCTGAAACAGGGATACGGACCGAGAGGGCGAGAGTGATCCCCTCCTACCGGGGCCCACCTTCCCCGCGTCCTCAGCCACTAAGGCCAGCCAGAACGTGAGCATACCGGAGAGCAAATGGGGGCCCAGCCAGCCAAGCGCTAGACACATTAAATATACAGCTATGTCAAAACATAATTAGAGATCTGCATCAGGCCATTTACCTCGTCCTCTCTTCCCACCCCCACTCCCGCGCGGTCGCTGTTCTTCTCTGTGAGCTTCCAAGTGTGACCTGAGCTCCTCCTGACCAGCTCCACGCTCACAAATCACAAGGAAGGGAAGAAGGAATTATTTATTTAAACAATGTTTTAATTTTTTCACAGCTGAGTTGAGATAAAAATTCACAGACCATCAGTGTCGAGTGAACGGGGTCTTGGGGGAGAATCGATGTGGCTGACGCTAGGGTTCAAGGCCACACTAATACCATTAGGCGCCCAGAGCAAAGGTTCCCGGAGCCGTCAGGGAAAGCTTGGATCAGAACAGCGGCAAGGCCGTGTCTGGGGAGGCTGCATGTGTGCCGGGGGTGGCAGCCAGGAGAGGGGTTACAGGAGGGAGCACGAGGAGGAGCAGCAGACGTAAGGGAGAAACAGTCCCCGGCGTGTTCCAGGGGGAGGGAGGGCGGCAGGGGGCAGGCCTGTCACCACCCACCACTGTGTCTTCACCACAGGGAGACCCACTCGCACGAAGTAAAACACCTTCTGCTCAGGGCAGCATTGCTCACGAGCGCCAGAAAGAGGAAACAACCCCAATACCCAGCGGTGAGCGAATGGACAAACAACACATGCCGAGTGCATACATGGGAGTCTCATCCAGCATGGAAGGGAATGACGTCATGACCCCTGCTACACAGACATGGGTGAACCTTCCAAACACTATGTTGAGCGCTCAGTGCAAAAGGCCACACACTACAGGGTTCCATTTACTCAGTGTGTCCAACGCAAGCAAATCCATGGCCACAGAGATTGCTTAGTGGTATCCTGGGGTTGGGGGAGGGGGAGACCGGGGAGAGGCTGCTAATGGGGAGGCAGGTTCACTGGAGGGTACTCATGTTCTGCAACGAGAATGTGGTAGTTGTCGCAAACTCCGTGAACACACAAAAAATTACTGAACTGTATGTAATGGGCAAAATTTACACTATGTAAAATATATCTGAATATAGTTTTTAATTAAAAATGTTATTAAAAATAAATTTTTATAACTAGAAATAAACTTGAAGAATGTAAAATTTTATGTTCTTTTACTGTGAAATTTTTACTTTAAGAAATAATTCATTTACTTCCCCCCTTTCCTCTCAAAGATACAGTGCCTCCCTCTCTTGTTACCATGCTGGTTCTATCTACATTTATTTATTTATTTTGGTACAAAATCAGAGGTGGAGGAGAGCATTTCCATGTAAATGACCATAAACCAAACAATAAAAAATGAGACAAAAGCCATGGCCTTTGAACCAATTCGTTCCCCAGCCAAATCCTGAAGATGAGGATGACACAGGTCTGTGTGGTTAGGGACCGTGCGCTCCCCACACACAGTCCTCGGAGCACAGAAAGGCTGCACTGCACCCAGACTGCGGGACTCAGCTTCCCACCCTCGTGTTGCACGTGTTATCACAGAAGCCAGGTCTGCCGAGGTGACCGTGATAGACTGGCTAACATCTGCAGAGCAGGTCCTAACTGGTTTACAAAAACCCAAAGAGCTTCTGCCCTGGTTTCTGCTTTACTGGACCAAAAAAGAGCATCGTAACTCGTTCTGAAAATGAATCTATCCGGTTCTTGCCAGGCAACCTTCCACAACACATTTCATGTTCATTGCTTCCTTCCCAATAGCCTTCAAGAATTACCAGAGTAGAGAACTGCGAATCAGCACAAGTCACTTCACTGACCGGAGTCCCCACCTCCTCACCTGCATGTGGAGGGGCAACCCTGAGTTACCTCTAAGGACAGTCCATCTCCAAGGGGGTCTGTCTGTGTTTATGAATTGTGGGAACAGACTTGAATGCAGAATTAGGGTTCCAGGAAACTGTAGTAAGACCTTCATTTCTTGAAATGTCAATAAAGCAGTTTCCTCTAGTAGTAAGATAATTTAAAAACTAAGACCCAGTTCCTCAGCAAACTTATCCGAATAACTGTGGGAGGCTGGCAAGGCACAAAGAATGGAAAGGAGTGTCCTGTTCTCTTATGTTCTGCTCTGTGGATTTCACGTAAAGACCCTAGAACTATCTGTTTATCACGTCATTATGGGCAGATTAACGGTATAGCCAGCTTACAAGCCAAATGATGAATCCATCCTAGCTGAGAAAAAAACATTATTTTGGAAATTTCTAGACAGGAAGAACTGAGTTGGGGAAATGGGCGGGGAAAAGAAACATGTAGACTGCAGCTCTTACCTAAACCGGCTGACAGTCCGTCAGCGCTAAATAATCTGCCAGCCTTTCAGACAGCAGGTGAGAACACAGCTCATTTCCTCACTGGCCCTGAAACTTTCCACGGAAGCAACTCCTGTGCAGTCCTAGTTCCCCAGGCACTCACGGTGGCAGCCACGGTGCCCTCCTACCAGCCACACGTCTGCGCGGCAGGACCAGCAGCAGCCAGAGCCGGGCACCGCCGGTGTGAGGCGGGTCCTTGACCTCTGTGTACGCGACAGGGGAGTCCTGGTGACCTGCTGGATACATGCTCTGAGTGGGGCCACAGGTTCAACGTAACTGATGTGGAACTGACAAGAATGAACGGCCCACAAAACCCCTACACCCACGAAAACTGCCAACGTCCAGAAATCCAGCCCCGCACTTTGGAAGGAGACGGCCAACCACAAGAGTGGGGTGATGTCTATGAAGACACAGGCCAACTCCCTGTGAGCACAGGAAGTACCAGAGCCCTGGGAGAAGCTGAGGATCTCAGAGGTGGGTCCAAACAGAGAGCTTATTTCTGGTTACCGAGTCCCCCATTTTGGCAACCTCCCAAACTTCCTTAACACCTCGACTCAAACTCGTCTGTTTCCCGCTAATGTGTTCACAAGATACATTACTAAGGATATAAGTAATCATTAAGTACCTGGTTAATTACAGGAAATTTCCTCCATTCCCAGCTTGAAGTAGAAAGCATATATATAAAGCATCGGGGACTGCATGTATACACATTGCTACAGGGCCCCCCGATAGCACTACTGAAGATGCAGCATGCGCAATGAATAAGCAGCACTTACCGATTCTCTGGTTGAAAATCTTGTCAAAGGTTATTTCATTTCTTTCTGCGAGATACTTCTGCATCACGCTCCGGATACTAAAAGAGAAGAGTGACACGTTTTTAACAATTACAGCCTGTACCATGCGTAACCACCACTAGAATGGGAAACACATCACGTCTGTCCTGTCTCCAGGACTGATGAGATGTCCCTGGCTTGGCAAGAGCCCCTCTTACAGACACCCACACCTGCTCGAATGGCTGGTTCAACAAAGAGAGCCGGGCACGTCGCAACGCCAGCCGTTACGCTCGCCCGCGACTCAGGGCCAACCTCATGCGTCGACTCACCTACAAAAACTGACTTAAGGGTTTGGGGACTGTGCATCCTTAACACCATCGCTTTCCAAAACGTGCACGAGCCTGCACGCACACACGTGACAAATTCCGCTCATCAATTAATGAGCTTCTTTTTAAAACAAAGGCTGAAGTTCCCTGGATATATGATTAGTATTTTTAAAAATCACATTCCTGCACATCAATTAAAAAAAAAAAACTACAAGAAAACATACTTAGAAGAAAGATTTCACTTACAACAAAATTAAAAACATCAAATGCCTTGAAATGAATTCAAAATACGTGGACTTTACAGGAAAAATTACCAATTTCATTGAGAGACACAAATGAAGATCTTAATAAGTAAAAAAGATACACCACAGTTATGAACATGAAGATTTAATGTTGCAAAAATTCAAAGCCTACCCAAATTTATCTATGAAACCAATATGGTCCCCCATCAATATTCCAACAGGGTTTTTCATGAAACACAAAAACAGAGAAGCTCTTTATAAAATGTATACAAAACAGGCTCATGAAGCCAAAACATTTCTGAAGAAAGTGAGTGGCGTGAGGATAATAGGGCTTATGATGAGGCTAAAAGGATTAAGACAGGATAAGCAAGTTGTCAATGACAAGGAACAGGCAGCACGTGAGCTGACGCACATGTACGTACATACATACGTGGAACTCTGACATGTGAGGGTGGCAAAATGGAGAGAAACGGGGGAGGGGGACTGACTGCTCAGTGAGTGAACCTTAAAAGTGATCATCCAGACACTGTGGACACTAACTCTCTGTCCTCCACTGACGGGCAGCAGTTTGGCACTGCTTCTATTTTTTCGTAACAAACTAATTCAGGTAAAATTTATATATAATTAAATGTATACTTAAGTGTATCATTAAATGAGTTTCCACATATAACTCCTATGCTAATCAAGATATCAAATATTTCCATCACCCCAAAAGGGGCTTCTTTGCAATCCATCTTCTCATAGTCCAGGATCCAGGCAACTACCAATCTTCTTTCTGTTAATATAGGTTACCTGCTCCAGTTTGATGATTTTATATAAATAAAATCAAACAACACATTGTCCTTTGTGTCTGGCTTCTTTCACTCAGTATAAGCAAGCTTCATCCCTATTGCTGAATGCATATGTAGTTAGGGTTTTTTGTATTGCCAAATAGTATATCATTGTGTTCCACCATTTGTTTATCCACTCATCTGTTGACAGACATATGGGTTGTTTTTAGTTTGGGGCTATTATGAATAAAGCTGCTTTAAATGTTCGTTTGTAAGTCTTTTTTTAATGGGCACGTGTTTTCATTTTTCATGGGTAAATATGTAGACGTGAAATTGTTGGCCATATGGTAAATTATATTGAACATATGAAAAAGTGCTAAATCATATTCCAAAAATGCTTGTACACTGTTATATTCCCACAATGGACAAAGTTCCAGTTGTTCCACGTCCCTTGCCAAGGCTTTAGTTGTCAGTCTTTTTGGTTTCAGCCACTCTGTTGGGTGCGCAGTGGCCTCTTACATGGACTTGTATTTGAATGTGCATTTCCCTAATGAATAATGACGTTGAGCATGTTTGAACATGATTATCAGGATGCATATACGTTCTTTTGTGAAGTGTGTTGTGAAATCTTTTGCCCATCTTTTAACTGAGTTGTTTATCTTGTTACTCAGTTGTAAAACTTCCTTACAGAGCCTGGAAACAAGGCCTGTGTCAGCTTATGTGATATCATTTTCTCCCAGTTCACACGCCTGTGTCTCTCTTTTCTTCATTAAGTCCTCTGAAGAGCAGAAGTCTTGGTTGATGAGTTCTAGTTTATTGATTTCTTCTTCTGGTGGACACTCTGTGCTAAGAAACCTTTCATATCCCAAGGTCATGAAGATTTCAATCTATATTTTCCTTTAGAAATTTTAAAGTTTTAGCTTTTGTGTTCAGGTCTAAGATCCAACTTTTGTTTTGTATAATACAAGGTGCGATCGCAGCTCTTTTTTTCCTTATAACCTAATACCATATTGTTCTGGTATCACTGCTGGAAAAAAACCACCCCTTCTTCACTGAATTCTCCGGGCATCTTTGCAGATTCCACTACACGTGTCGGTCTGTCCTTGGCTACCCTGTGGCGCTGATCTATATGTCTATCCCTACATAAATACCGTATTTTCTTGAGTGTTACAGATTTATAGTAAATCTTGACATCAGGTGACCCAAGTCTTGCAACTTTGTTTCACTGCTTTTGTTGTTTTTTTCTGGTTTGTTCTTTTTTCCTATTCTAGGTTCTTTGCATTTCCATGTAAGTTTTTTAAATCACCACGAAAATTTCTTCCCAGAAAAAGCTTGCTGGGGCTTTGACTGGGATTGTGTTGAATCTATAAATTAATTTTGGGGGAACCTCTTAATAAATTCTTAATAATCTCACATATACAATCCACAAATATGACATATTTCTCCAGTTATCTAGGTCTCCTTTAAGTTCTCTTATCAGTATTTTATAGCTTTCGGTATAAAAAACTTGTCCTTTTCTCGTAATAATTTTCTCTGGTTTGTGTATCAGGATAATGAGATTCATAAAATGAGATGGGAATTATTCCTTTTTCCTTTATTTTCTGAAAGAGTTGGTGTAAGATTCTATTAATTCTTCCTTAAATGTTGAACAGATCTCATCAGTGAAGCCATTTGGGCCTAGAGTTTTCTTTGTGGGAAGGTTTTAAATTAAAAATTCCCTTTCTTCCATAGATATAGGGTTATTAATACTTTCTATTGCCTCTTGTATTAGCGTTGATAACTTGTGTCTTTTATGGAATTTATCCATTTCATCCAACTTGTCAAATGAATTTCCAAATAATTAAAATGAGTCAAAGCAGCCAGATTTGAAAGGGAACAAGAACACAGTCCTTGATGACAAAGGGGCAGGAGCAACGGGAGCAAGCTTTGGGGAACGAGGTAGGCGGCGAAACTTAAAAGATCCGTATTGGGTCTTTGTCCCAGTTCATGGCACAGAGCTCCTAACGTCCTTGGAATAAGAGTGTCTTATTCACAAGGAGCGCTTCCCAGCCGTCCCTGAGTTCATGCTAATGAGGTGACTCTTGGGCCCTTTGACAGCTTCGTGATTGGGCTGCTGGCCAGAGGAATCAACCAACCATGTGACGAGAGGATTGGGACTTTCAGCTGAACTATTCAACTTCTGGGAGGCTAGAGATTGAGTTCAATTACCAATAGTCAATAATGTAACCAGTCATGGCTACAAAATGAAACTTCCATAAAACTCCAGAATGATGAGGTTTGGAGAGCTTCTGTGTTGGTGAGCACACGGGACTGCTGGGAAGGGGTCCCGGACAGAACATGGAAGCTCTGGGCTCTCTCCCCACCGAGCTGGCCTTAGGTGACGACCATTTTCCAGTTCCTGAGCTGTACCCTTTACCATAACACAAGTCACAAGTATAAGACTTTCTTGAGTTGTATGAGTTGTTCTAGTGACACATCAGATTCAAGGGGAAGGCCATGGGAACCTCAAGTTGGTAGTCAGCCAGGCAGTAAAGCAGGTAAACAGAGGCCCCCGTTTGCTGCTGGTATATGAAGTGGGCCAGTCTTGTGAGACTGAGCCTTTAATCTGGCTGGGGGGTGGGGGGAGGTCCTGTGCCCACTCTGAGTTAACATCAGAATTTTTTTTTAAAGATTTTATTTCTTTATTTTCAGAGAGAGAGGGGAAGGGAAAGAGAAAGAGAGGGAGGGAAACATGATCAGTTGCCTCTCACACGCCCCCAACTGGAGCCCTGGCATATGCCCCGACTGGGAATCGAACTGGCGACCCTTCCATTCACAGGCTGGTACTCAATCCACCGAGCCACACCAGCCAGGGCTCAGAAATTATTTGAATTGCAGAACACCCAGCTGGTGTCAGAGAACTGAAGACTACTGAAAGAGGATATGATGCATATGTTCAATACCTTAATTTTGGTAATAGCTTCACAGGTGTAGACAAAACTTACCCAACTGTATACTTGAAATATGTGCAGTTTATGTTATATTAATTATACCTAATTAAAGCCTCCTTTTAAAAAAATTATACCACAAGGATGCAATCAGCAAAATCCTAGCTGTGGGAAACGCTATACAACAGATGACCTAGTTTCCTTAACAAACAATTTCAAGAGAAAAAATGATGGATGGGGAACCTATAGTTCAAAAAAGACTTAAAAGAAATAACCATCAAGCATAGTGTATGGACCTTATTTAAAACTCAATTCAAGTAAAAAAAATCTGGTAAAAACTGAAGAAATGTGAATACAGATTGAATATTTAATATTAAGGAAGCGTTATCTTTTTAGCCTTAGCAATGTATTATGTTTGGGTATGTTAAGAGTTATCTTTTAGGAAAATATGCAGAAATATCTACAGATGAAACAACACATTATGTTTCAAAATAACATAAAGGGAACTAGGAGGTATGGATGCATCAAAATTGGTAATGTGTTGGTAATTGATAAAGTTGAGTGATGGCTACATCAATTTCATTATATTATTCTCTCCCTCAGTATGTGTGTTAAATTTTCATTATGGAAAGTTTTTTTAAAAATCAAATCCTGGCCTCTGTTCCTGGATCACTACTTCACATACTTCCTCATCAAAATAAGATATATATGCTATATGTAATGATAATACCATATATATTGATTGGAGGCCTATTTTTTTTTCATTTAATATCAACTGGCTGAAGATATGTAAGCCCTACCTGTCATGACCTATT